GTGCCTTGGCTGGTTTCTGTGTCAGCTGACAATGAATGAAAAGATCCAAACTGAATGAAACAGTCTTTTTACTTTGGGAGTGAGGGATGCTCGAGGAATGGGAATGACATGCTAGTTTAGATTTGGGATTAATTTCACCATCGAGTGCAACATCAGGGGGAAAGACTAGAATTTTTCCCCACATTCCCTTTAAACAGTGAAGAGCATCAAGTTTAGTGCATAGCCAGCAAACAGGCATCAAAGAGGAAAGGACATACTGAGATCTTGTCATACGATGGAGGGCCCGGGAGTTTCTGAACTGGGTAGTCTGCTTTCTGAGCAAGGCGTATTTCCTTTTGCAGCCTAGGAAGAAGAAAGCAAGCGAATAATTAGACACACCAGCAGCTTGCTGGATCAGGTGAGAAATCCATCTAGTGCCAGCGGTTCTCAAGCTGTGGGTCCCCAGATGTTGTTGGACTACAACTCCCATCATCCCTGAGCTCTGGCCTTGCTAGCTAGGGGTGATGGGAGTTGTAGTTCAACAACATCTGGGGACCCACAGCTTGAGAAAGGCTGGGCCTGTTATCAACAGTGGCCTGCTTTTGAAAAGCCCATAAGAAGGGCTTGAGGGCAACATTCCGCGTCCCTCAGCACTTGATACTACAGCACAGCATGGTACCCAGGGCTGCCTTGTTTAGTGCTTAGAGTGCAAGACTTGAACCTGGGAGAGACCTCACAGGGTTGTTGTAGCGATTAAATGAAGAAGGGGAGAACCATGGGTGACGCCATGAGCTCCGTGGAGAAAACGGTGGGGTGCAAATGCAATAAACAGTTGCAGTTGATGCTGCTCTCAAGCAGCTCCTCATTCTAGCCGTTGTTATACCTGCATCCCCACCCCTCCTGGTGGTTCCCAAGAATGGTGTTTTGGGGTGGGGGTGGGGGGAAGCACGAAATTAAACTGCTGGCCTCTTGCCAAGTATAAAGGTTTTGCATGTGCCTACCTGCACCAGCACACAGCTGCCACCACCAGAGCTGCGATTCCTGCAGCTGTACACACGACTATCATCCCTGCAGAGAGACACACAGGTTGAAGGTTTGTATAGAGACACACCAGGGAAGGAAGGAAGCGGGGAGGGAACCAGCAGTGACCTCCTGGGATGATGGCAGGTGAAGCATCGTCAAAGAACTTCCAGCCTTTATGGTTTTATTTTCTTCATTAGCATGTTATCTGTTTGCTTGAACACTGTCCTTGTTATAAGTCTCCATACACTGCCCCTCATTGCAGGTGGAAGCATAAAATCCCTACCTGCAAATCAGCAACCAGTGGTGCATTTAGCATTGTGGGACAGTTCTGTGGAAATCTCTCGTGGGTGAGATCAACCAGAGCCAGGGCCTTTTCAGCTGTGGCCCCGATCTGGTGGAATGCTCTGTCACAAGAGACTAGGGCCCTGCGGGACTTGACATCTTTCCACAGGGCCTACAAGACGGAGCTGTTCCACCAGGCCTTTGGCCAAGGCACAGCCTGACCCCCCTCCTTCGGTAATCCTCACAGAACTCTAGCCCAATGGTTGCCATTAATTTGATTCTGAATTGATTTTAGAATGAATTGATTTTTAGAATTCTGTGTTACTTTTATTGTTGTTAGCCGCTCTGAGCCCGGCTTCAGCTGGGGAGGGCGGGATATAAATAAAAAATTATTATTATTACTATTATTACTATTATTATTATTATTATCAAAGGAGTCCCCTCCCTATTAGACTTCTGGCAGCTGGAGATGTCCTTTCCACCTCAGCAGACAATTTTCAGCAAGTTTTGTAACTCTGTGGTTGAGTTTAAATTGATTTATCTTCATTGTGTCTTTTCAACTTTACTGTACATCGATTAAAAGCAACTTTATTATTATTATTATTAAACATTTTTCTTTACAAAGTTCATTATTATTATTATTAAACATTTTTCTTTACAAACTTCATTACAATTAAAACAACCAACCAACCAACCAAACAAACAAACAAAGTGCTGTTTTCCAAGACAAAGGCATGTCCAGCTATTAAGTTTAATATGTAGTCACCCACATGGCATCGAAACAAACTTGGAAAATCTTTTATCGTTTCAGGTTCAGCTCACATCCACAGGATTATGCTTCAATCTGAAGTGTTTAAGGATAATGTCTCCATAGTTGGGCTCCTGTGACTGGAGGTGGAAGAGGCTCTCCCTAGTTGGTTAACAAAGGATATAAACTGAGACCCTACCAAGTCAAACCCATCTTTCTTTATTATTCCTCCTTATCCACCTCCGGTGGTGAGCCAAGCACTCCGGAAGTGCTCCCTAAATTCCACACGGATTGGGTCCAAAACTCTGTGGTGGGAGGGGGAGCCCTCCCCCCCAAGTGGAAAACAACTATTTGCCTCACTGCTGTGCGTTTGAAATTTGGATTGATATAGTCTTCCATTGTTATATTCTGCCATATATGGAACACCCAGTTGCCTTCCTGAACGCTTACCCAGAATGAGAGCGTCATTTGACGAGAGTGAGGTTTTCACTGGAGTACTTTTGACTGCTTCTGTGCGAAGGGAAGGTGTTGCAGGAGGGCGTCTTGCCTGTCCCTTTGGCGAGGACACTGACTTCGACGCACCGATCCTGGGTGCTTGCCTGTGGGGGCTGGGGATTCTGCGTAAGGCAAAAACATGTCCACAAAGATTGGGGTGAGGGCGAAAGATTTTCTTTTCTTCTTTTTTTTGAGGTTTATTTATTTATTAACGTTCTTATGTTACATCGGCAAACATTTTCATATTACATCACAAGGCTTATTATAATATAATTTTCAGCATGTATACAAAGTTTATATACCTAAATAAAAGAAACAAGGACAAAAAACTATTCCAAAAATCATATATCTACAAACACTTTGGACTTCCTGTCTATCCCGTTCTATATTCCTTTTTTACCAATGAATGTACAGGTGAAACTCGAAAAATTTGAATATTGTGGGAAGTTCCTTTATTTCACTAATTCAACTTAAATGGTGAAACTAATATATGAGATCGACTCATGACATGCAAAGCGAGATATGTCAAGCCGTGGTTTGTTCTACAGGTGAAACTCAAAAAATTAGAATATCGTGGAAAAGTTCATTTATTTCAGTCATTCAACTTGAAAAGGTGAAACTAATATATGAGATAGACTCCTGACATACAAAGGGAGATACGTCAAGCCTTTATTTGTTATAATTTGTGATGATTATGGCGTACAGCTGATGAAAACCCCAAATTAACAATCTCAGAAAATGAGAATATTCAATGAAGTCAGCAAAACAAGGATTGCAAATGGAGCAAGATTGGACCTCTGAGAAGTGGAAGCACATCTCACTTTGCATGTCATGAGTCGATCTCATATATTAGTTTCACCTTTCAAGTTGGATTACTGAAATCAATGAACTTTTTCCACGATTTTCTAATTTTTAGAGTTTCACCTGCACTCTTATAATTGTATATTTCTTTACAAATTAATTCATGCAGAAGGACAACCCACATGCACCCCTGGACGGTCTCACGCTATGTGAGAAGAAAGAAAGTATCAACCCTAATCTTTCATCCAAGATGTGCGGAGCGGAAACTGGTCCGCAGGAGAGACTTACCATCCTGGAGTGCATTATTCTGTTTGGACAGCGCATCTGCCACTAAATCAACTTCTTCCTCTAGGTTGGGAGCACTGGCTCGCCCTAAGAAGGAAGACAGAAGATATTGGGGGGGGGGGGACAACAAATCCAAAGGAAAGTTATCAACAGATTATTTCATAAATTTATAGACCAGACAGTTGCTTAAAATAAACCCTCACAGTGGTTTACTGATAATTGTCAGTAAAAATAGTTTTAAAAGATGCAAAACGTTCAAAAATAATAATTAAAACCAACAATAAGGTTGACATCGCTTGTAGGGTTGAAAGAAGTTTCATAAGGAGCAATTTATAAATTATTGTGAAGAGAATTAAGAATAGATGTACTGGGGATTTGAGTTTATAGCAATAAACTACAGCAGTAACCAAATGCATAATTAGAAAGGCTTTAGAAAACCATCAGTCAAGGTTGAAGGAAGTCTCAGGCTGTGATAGCCGAAAATTTCGAAATGATGTTTAAAAGATGTTATGCTGCAAAATATGTGTAAAAAATAATAATAAATTATTTATAAAATCAACAATAGGCTAAAAGTAAGATTGACTGTGTTTCTTCCCCAATTGAACAGCGTTGGACTTGTGGCTGACATGTTTGCATCCTGTTCTCTCCCCCCTCCCCCAGCTGGTGGCAATTCACCCTCGCAACAACCATGCGAGGTAGGCTGGGGGCAGAGGTTTGGGGATGTGAACTGGATTTTCTCCCATACTGAAGTCTGGTCCGCTTGCTTCTGGAAGACAGTGGCACATCTAAATGTGGATATGATTAAATATCCAGGCAAAGTTGTGTGTGTTACTTCACCTGGGCTTTTTTGGCATAGGTTCGATCACCACTCAATAAGATCATTAAGGTGGGAGTCTTCACTGATGTGAGGACATAATTCCAAACCAAGATGGTGGACCAAAACATGACTGGCGTGACTTCACCCAATTTTTGCCGTGGTGGGTCCAAACTCACAAATCACACTATCCATTTTTTTAAATGCAATATTTTTCAGTTTCTAAAAAATCCCAGGCAACACTGGACACACTCTGCTAGGCCGGGGACGGGGGGACGGGACGGGACTTGAGTAAAATATGGGGGAGAGGAGGGCAGGTAAGCTCTGCCCTGCATAATTGATCACATGAAGCAGTGCACACACACCATTTCCAACAGCAATGCCTGTCAACTCTGGGGGGGGGCATGGCCCCCTCAAATGTTTTATGGGGGGAAAGACCCCTCAGCCCCTAGGGAGTTTTCTCCTATGTTGCTAGGAATTATATAAAGCCAGGCTTCTTTGAAAGGATGGAATTGTAGATCTCTCTCTCTCCCTCCCCTCCAGGTCACTTCTTCAAATTCAGTTAGATGCAGTTCCCTGAGTGGCAATTATGATGTTTGCCGGAGGAGCTAAGCGTCCTCAGATCAGAGTGAATGATTGCCAGGGTTTCTTGTACGCAGGGTGTGGGAGGGGGCTGGCATGGGGGAGGGAGGGTCAAGGAGCGCAGCTAGCTGGCTTTGGCATCACATTCCCAGCAGTTTTCTTTAACAAAAAAACAACCCCCCACCCTAATAGTGTAGATGGGACGCGGGTGGCGCTGTGGGTTAAACCACAGAGCCTAGGACTTGCCAATCAGAAGGTCAGCGGTTCGAATCCCCGCAACAGGGTGAGCTCCCATTGCTCAGTCCCTGCTCCTGCCCACCTAGCAGTTCAAAAGAACGTCAAAGTGCAAGTAGATCAATAGGTACCGCTCCGGCGGGAAGGTAAACGGCGTTTCCGTGCGCTGCTCTGGTTCGCCAGAAGCGGCTTAGTCATGCTGGCCACACGACCTGGAAGCTGTACACCGGCTCCCTTGGCCAATAAAGCGAGATGAGCGCCGTAACCCCAGAGTCGGTCACGACTGGACCTAATGGACAGGGGTCCCTTTACCTTTAATAGCATAGATGAAAAATGCCTATATATGCCAGCCTACTCCTAGTACTAGAGCAAGAAAACTGCTACCACATTTTCAAAGCTAAGCAGGGTCTGGTAGTTTCAGATTAGATGGACCATGTGTTGAGATTCCTGCATTGCAGGGGGTTAGACTAGATGACCCCTGGCGTTCCTTTTAACTCTACAATTCTATGATTCCTTCAATCTGCCCTCCAGATATTTTGGACTATCATTCCCATCAGCCCAACGAGCACAGCGGTGCCATCAGGTTGGGGGAAAAGCTGCCACACTGTCTGTAGACTTCTGCCAAGCATTTGACATGTATTACATCCACCTTGCAGGTAGGCCACTAATATTATTCCTGGTGGAGAGGATGAGAGATAGAGAGACTTGCCAAAAGCAACTTGGTAATATTTGGACTGGGGACCTGTAACTTCATACTCAATCTATTTTATTTTGCAGTTGCTTTTTTCATATATATTTTTCATAATAAAACATAAAGTACAAAAATGGATGACAAATAAAATAAAGCAAAAGTTGAAGAGGATATCTAGAACCAAACATAAAGGAACAAATTTACATACCAGAATAAAACGTAATAAATCAGTAACCACAAGGTTCCAAGTGACATAAATAGGTTCAATTTATCCTGTCCCTTATTGTTTAATCTTTATTTTATTTAACAAAACTTAAATGCTCCCCGGTTTAGGTTTTATTACAAAGCAGATTACAAAAAAAAGGAAAGAAAAGAAAACTCTACTACTTGGCATTAGTTCTTAATCCTTTCATCAGGGATGGGGAACCAAATGCTGCTGAACTCCCATCATCTCAGACTACTGGTCAATAACACCTGTAGGGCCACCAATATCTCCCAGCCCAGACTGACATGAAGTCCTGATTCAAAACATGACTGAGAAGTTGTAGCTTGCATTTCCCTCACCACCAACCCAACATCTTAGATGTTGGCCCCTGCATCATTTCCCCCTAGATATCAAGTGTTTGGCCGCAACGCTCTCTTTATTTTAAGGTCCTCCGTGGGACATACCAGGAGAGGTGGTCCTGTAGGTACAAGATCAGCTGCTGGCCTGCAGGGATTCCACTACAGCCAAGGTTGAGTGGGACACTTCAGATTTGGCCCTCCTTGCATGATTTCACATGCCTGGAAGTTTTGTCTCAGCAAACCTTACCAGGGCGCACCATCTAGCTGGCTACACTTATTTTTAAAATGTGGCTGATCTTATTTGTCTACTACCAGTGATTGTTTTACACTGTGCTTATGTACACTGCTAAAAGATTGTTCTTTTTTGGTGAAACTGTTTATGGAGGCTTCCAAGCAAATAAATCTTAACATGAGATCCTGGTGATGTTTTGATGGAAGCTGCCTCAAGGGTTGAGAATGTGAACTGAGGAAGGGCTGGGTTGGCTGGCGAGTCTGTTTCTACTGGTTGTTCAGAGCAAAGAGGCCTGTTAACTCTGCAACCCTAGAGCTGCAGGCAGAGAGAGAGAGAAAGAAAGAAAGAAAGAGTGCAGGTCTCCTCGGTTGTGTGTGTTCTGTGCTATGTGCTTGCATTATTAAAGACACTTTTTCATGTCCCAAGCAATAAAAAGCTGGGAAAGCTTGCCGGAGTCATGAAATATTCACAGAGTTCTAAAAATAGTAACACAAGGACTACATGGGACACAAGGTGTACCCTGGGTAGTGGACACCCCCCCACACCCCCCCACAAAGGAATGCTGGTATCCAGAATTTTGGGCTCTTGAGTGTGGGAAAGTACATAAGAACATAAGAAAAGTCTGCTGCAGGCCAGTAGCCCATCTAGACCAATATACTGTTCTCACTGTATCATATATATATGTGTGTGTGTGTGTGTGTGTGTGTGAAGGTAAAGGTACCCCTGCCCGTTCGGGCCAGTCTTGACAGACTCTAGGGTTGTGCGCTCATCTCACTCTATAGGCCAGGATCCAGCGCAGCACACGGAACGCCGTTTACCTTCCCGCTGGTAAGCGGTCCCTATTTATCTACTTGCACCCGAAGGTGCTTTTGAACTGCTAGGTTGCCAGGCGCTGGGACCGAACAACGGGAGCGCACCCCGCCGCGGGGATTCGAACCGCCGACCTTTCGATCGGCAAGTCCTAGGCGCTGAGGCTTTAACCCACAGCGCCACCTGTGTCCCATATATATATATATAAATTTTTTATTAGTTTTTTTAACATATCATTTTCAACAGTAGTTAAACATACTTTTACAGTCTGACCACCTCCTTCGGTAATCCTCACAGAACTGTAGCCCAATGGTTGCCATTAATTTGATTTTGAATTGATTTTAGAATGCATTTCAATTGATTGATTGTGATTTTATGTGAACTATGTTGCTTTTATTGTTGTTGGCCGCTCTGAGCCCGGCTTCGGCTAGGGAGGGCGGGATATAAATATATTATTATTATTATTATTATTATTATTATTATTATTATGGGCCAGCACTGATCCATGGACCACCACTTTTGAAGAGCTTGCTCTGTTTCATCTCTCTTCCCTGTCCCCCGTCAGCCACTAGGCTGTTTTGTGAATACGTGTTATGTTCCCACCCCTTAAATGTTTTTTAGACTTCTGCAAACTGCTACCTCCTCCTCGTGCACTTGTGGTGGTGAACTTGTTATTGTTAGTTCATTAGTGCCCTTTACCTATGTGTTGCAGCATTGAAATCAATATTAAAAATATATAAAACAACTTACAACCATAAAAACAAGGTGAGGCCTAAAACTATGCCCCTCATGTCTTAAAAGTCAGGGTAAAGAGGTGCGCCTCCAGCAATCTCCGAAAGCATTTGGGACTGAAATGTGGGTCCACCTTCAGATAATCCAGTTTGTTATTCATTTGCGCGATGAGTAAGGGGGAATGAGCTGTCTAGGGCAAGCTGTTTCTCTTGAGACTCCATTAGAAGTTAACCCACTGCATGAGTGTTAAAGGAAATGACAAACAGCGCAGGAACAGAGAAGCCCCAAATCTCCAGCATTTTAAAGGGAAAGGGATGTGCCACTTGCAGTACATAATCTCCCTGGGTAACTGAAATGCAGTCTGAACACCAATCCGTTAACAACCAAGCTCTTATGTAAGCTCCCATCTGTCGCTAAGAATCATCATTTTGCATGAAGTCATGTTTCAGGCAGGAGATTGAAGACCACTGTGTACAAGCTGCATTCCTTTCCAACACCGTTCCTCACTTTTCAAAGGTGGGTAGGTGGAAGACAACTGTACCCACATGGGTCCAGTACATTCACCTGGGACAAATAGGTTCCTTGTACAACAGGTGGCAAGATCTTCAAACTTGCACTTCCAAAACCAGCTTTGGCATTAGGCTAGAATGAGTAGCACCAAAGTGCACTGAAGACCTTTTTTTAGTTATCATCATCAGCTGCCTAGAGATGGCGCTATTGCTTAACATGAACCACTGAGTTACAAAACTGGGGGTGGGGGTGGGAAGCCCCGAGAAAATTAACGCTTTCTGCTCTCCCTGGGAGGGCCGATCTAGATGTGTGCCCTATCACTGGAGCTGCTGAGGTCCAAAGGAATAAGAAACAGGTCAAATACTGATGCAACAAATGTGTTACTGCAAGGATTTGGAACTCCTCCCCATAAATTTTCTAGGAGGAAAGTTTCAGCAAGTTTCTCCATGCTGCAGGAATCCTGGTTTTATGTTGTCATGAGTTGCAATTGTTTTATTTGTGTTCACAAAAACAACAACAACACATCAACAACTCCTTTTTAACACTCAAATGCTTTGTCTGGGTTTAACGGCTTTCACCTTTCACACCAAAGCATGGAAGCTGCCTACAAGTCTCCCAAGGGAATGCTGCTCTGAGGAAACAGCATGGCAGCAGAGGATGGGGGCCTCTCCTCCAAACAGAAAATGAAACAGTAGAGGGGACATGGACACCAGACTTCTGATTCTGGCATAGAGCTTTACTGGGTTTCAACTGCGGAAAGAGAACTGGCAATATTGTTCTGGCTGATGCTTTCTGCACCCAGCCCTACCTACCGCTGGCCGCCCGTGCCTTGGGGATGCATTGGCCGTCTTCATCCTCGATGAACTGAGGGAGACACGGGCCACAGGAATACGATCCGGGGAGGCAGAACTCACGGCGCAGCAAAGCACATTCCAGACTTCGAGGACAAGACTCTGTGTGTGTGAGAGAGAACCCATTAGTAATCTGTATTCATTTTGCACAAAGTTGTCACCCCCAATGCCACTGCTAGATAAGACAAAAGCACCACTGTGACCTACAGGCGAAACTCGAAAAATTAGAATATCGTGGAAAAGTTCCTTTATTTCCGTAATTCAACTTGAAAGGTGAAACTAATATCTGAGATAGACTCATGACATGCAAAGCGAGATATGTCAAGCCTTGATTTGTTATCATTGAGATGATCATGGTGTACAGCTTATGAAAATCCCAAATTAACAATCTCAGAAAATTAGAAATTAGAAAATCAAGGAAATCAGCAAAACAAGGATTGCAAATCGAGCAAGATTGGACCTCTGAGAAGTAGAAGCACATCTCGCTTTGCATGTCATGAGCCGATCTCATATATTAGTTTCACCTTTTAAGTTGAATTACTGAAATAATTGAACTTTTCCACAATATTCTAATTTTTCGAGTTTCACTTGTAGTGGAGCTAAGGTTACCAGATTTTTTTCAATGAATCCTGAGTTGTTGGTTCTTCGGGGTGGGGGGTGGGGGGGAAAAGCGGTGCGTGATGGGTCAGGCATGGAAGGCAGAGAAGGAGGGCCAAGAGCAGCGGCGGCGGCGGGGTTCGGGCAGAACAATGCCCCCCAAACAGAGGCCACAGGGGCTCCAGCCCTCCCACTCCCTCAGCAGATGCAACCCAGCTACATATCACTGCTAAACAGGGACAACATCACCAACAGCCCTGGACTGAACTTCATGGAGACTCCATTTAAAAAATCACCTTAGTTAGTGGCCATCCCGTTGTTGCATAAATGAATGCAACACTGTGGCAGTGAAATGAATGTTGCATTCCTTTATTTAGCCTGAATCTACCACCCACTTTTTGGCAGACACACCGGCCTCCCAAGTTCTAGCATTGCTGGGGGGGGGGGCAAACCCACTTCCTGCACACCCTGCATTGTATTATAAGTCTCTATCACACACACACACACACACACACACACACACACACATCATGGTTGTCTGCAAGTTTTCCCCAGCAGCAGATGAAAGCACTGAAAAGGCTGTGGGAAGCAGACTAATTTCTCAGAAGAAAAATATTAATACCTCCAGTACATTTCACCCATATCTCAGATTATACACATCTACAGATGCAGTGGTACCTCAGGATGCGAACGGGATCCGTTCCGGAGCCCCGTTCGCATCCCGAACAGAACATAAGACGCGACAGCGCATCGCGTTTCGCTGCTTCCGCGCATGTGCGTGACATCATTTTGACTACAGATAGGTAGCCGTGTTGGTCTGCCATAGTCAAAACAAAATAAATAAATAAATAAATAAATAAATAAATAAATAAAAATTATCTGTGTATGTGAAGAAGTGTGCATGCACACGAAAGCTCATACCAAGAACTAACTTAGTTGGTCTTTAAGGTGCTACTGGAAGGAATTTTTTTTGTTTTGATCATTTTGACTGACTGTGCATGTGCGAGCGGCGAAACCCGGAAGTAACGCGCTCCGTTACTTCCGGGTCGCCGCGGAGCGCAACCTGAAAGTACTTAACCTGAAGCGTATTTATCCTGAGGTATGACTGTATGTATATTTTTCAAAAAATGAAAGCTGGGAATCTGGGGATTTGGGTTCGCCTAAGTGGAAGACTTACCACTCCACTGCCCTGTGTGGATGCCCATTCCTCTTTACCCAACTAGAATGTAGAGCTTTGCACAACTAGCCTATTCAAAATCAACTTACCCCGTGTATATTGGAGGGAAATAGCATGCGATTTTTGTGTCTGTGTGGAACTTAAAAAAAAGCAAACAATGCAGATTTGGGGGTTGGGGACTTAAGACTGGAAAAATGAAAAAGTGACAGCAACCAAGACTGATGGGATCTGCCATCCTTTCACACAGTCACTTGCCACACACCAGCTTAAATATGCCCCAGAGTCTTCCAGGAGAAGGTGCAACTCACAGGACGCTGGAGCCTGCTCTGACATCCTGCTCCTTTCCAGGAACTGTTTGCTTAAATGGGTGTGTGTGTGTGTGTGTGTAGACTGAAACTCCCCCCACCTGAAAAGCAAACAACCCATGCCCAGCCTGCCAGCAGAGGGAGAATGTGATGTGATGTTGTTGCCTCAGGTGACTATATTCTTCATGCTGTGGGTTATTAGTGGGGTGGAGAGAAGAGTAAAGCAAGGAGGGTTTACTATGTACTTCTTGGAAAGCAATGATGAGCATGGGGGCAGGGAGAGAATGTTGAGAATTTGTTGATTGAAAAGAATTGAGAAGCTTTTTTTTTAATAAAAAAAAAAGTCACAGGGTGGTAATGTGAGGGGAGACAATGACACAGGAGCAGTTTCCATCCACTACAGACACAACCTGGCTGCACGTGGTGACTTTGAGCTAGATCTCAGGACCATTGGCTGCCTGTCCACAGGACTGGAAGGTTGACAGAGGAGAGAGAGGAGGGTTTTGCAAGGGAAACCCAACGAGAAGCGAAGTTACAGGGAACCAGGCAGAGGGCCTTCTCGGTAGTGGCGCCCGCCCTATGGAACGCCCTCACATCAGATGTCAAAGAGATAAACAACCACCAGACTTTTAGAAGACATCTGAAGGCAGCCCTGTTTAGGGAAGCTTTTAATGTTTGATGGATTACTGTATTTTAATATTTTGTTGGAAGCCGACCAGGGTAGCTGGGGAAGCCCAGCCAGATGGGCGTGGTATAAATAATAAATTATTATTATTATAATGATTGCTCTTGTTGGTTTAGGTGCTGGGCCAGCAGAGAGACGCAGTTTCCAGTGGGGTGGGGAGGTCGTTCCTCTAGCTGCACACACACACACACGCGCGCGCGCGCGCGCGCACACACACACACACACACACCGGACATCCATTTCACGTATCTCCTAGCTGTTTTAAAGCATTCTTTTAAAATTAAAGTGTACAGCTGAATAATGTGATAAGTGACTGCCTTTCCTGCCCTGTGTAAAATTTGATTTTATAATGATGGCCTCTCTCCTTTGATACTGCTTTGATTAAAGAGCAACAGCAGCAAATCCCTTGTTGAGAAGCCTTCAGGGCCAGGAAGCTGCCCAGCCAGAGCACCAAAGAAGTGCTGGTTTCTGTGCTGGAAACCGCAGAAGGAGAAAGTTGCTACTGTGCTTGAGGTCCTGCTTCTGAGCTTCCCATTGGGACACCTGGTCGGCCACTTTGAGTACAAGATGCTGGACTAGGTGGGTCCCCTTTGGGCCTGGTCCAGCAAGTTCATCTTAGGTTAGCAGGAGAGAATCCTCACACCCTTCCTCCAGAGAGAGGGGATTCTCCAAGCGAAGCTCTCAGGACCCTTCAGCTGTTGCCAGCTTCCTGCTAACAACAAACCTATCTTGCCTCTGTGCTTTGCCCTCTGGGAGGTTTTGGCGCAGTTCTGCTCTGCCTCCCTCTCCCTCCTTCCAACAAGGATTAAGCAGCAAGAGAGATACTTCTCAATCTAATTAAAGCTCCAATAAGGTTATCGGCTGCCATTTACAGTCTCCGGTTGCAACTGCTACTTACGATGCAATTAAACTCCCATTTGTTGGTGGTTAACGGTGCTGGAAATTTCTAGAAGGGCAGCGGGTGGGGAGGATGTCTGGCCTCATTTACCAGCACCTGAGATTTTCGTAAACATGAACTGCTCTGCACATCCTTGGAAAAGAATTAGACACATTTGCCAAGAATTGTTTCCATCAGGTGCCATTAGTCATGTTTGCTATAATGGAATCAGAGCCTGCCTGGCACAGAGGGGTGACGCACGATGCCAGGCAGATCTGAGGGTCTAGTCTAGGACCAGCTTGGAGCCCCACAAAAACTGCCTTGAGTTCCAGAGAAGGCAAAATTGAAATAAGCAAAGCCTCCACACTCAGAGGCAGCCCACCTGCAAACATGTCACACTGACTCTCAGCATGGGGGTAAGAAGAGGAAACAGGGAAACTTTTTCACATTTCCTCATGGAGAGTCTAATGGGGGAGGCTTGCCAGAGGCGAGAGTGGCCTAAGCAGAGGTATGTGTGAGTGTGTATATGTGTGCACATACAAATGCACGCAACCCACCCCTCTATCCTAGCAAGCAAGAGGATTAGGTTGACCAGGTTAAGGACACATTCTGGTCGGCCAAAAGCACTCAAGGAGGGTGCAGAGCAGGAATTGGTAAGGAGGGATGTGTGGCCTACACCAGTCCCAAAAGCTCAAACAGAGGCAAGGGGACCCAGGTTCAAAACCCAGCTCCAACCCTGAAGCTGACTGGGTAATCTAGGCCAGTCACTATCCCTCAGCCTGAACTACCTTATAAAGTTGTTGTGGAGATAACAGAAGAGTGGAACAACCGTGAACCCTGTTTTTCTTTTGGAGACATGGGCGTACAGGGGAGCAGAACATTAGGAGTATATCCAGGCCTCTGAGTTTCAAATCTCCAGCACTGCCTCCTCCTCCTCCTCCGAGCAGAGGTGGTGTGGGAGGCACCTTGCAAAGCATCAGTCACCCTTCATCTTCATTTGCCCAGTGGCACCCACACACATACAAATTCCTCTATGCGGATTTGTGCACCCCTAAGGACCCAGAAGGGACGTGGGTGGCGTTGTGGGTTAAACCACAGAGCCTAGGGCTTGCCGATCAGAAGGTCGGTGATTCAAATCCCCGCGACAGGGTGAGCTCCCATTGCTCGGTCCCTGCTCCTGCCAACCTAGCAGTTCAAAAGCACGTCAAAATGCAAGTAGATAAATAGGTACCACTCCGGTGGGAAGGTAAACGGCGTTTCCGTGCACTGCTCTGGTTTGCCAGAAGCAGCTTAGTCATGCTGGCCACATGACCCGGAAGCTGTACACCTGCTCCCTTGGCCAATAAAGCAAGATGAGCGCCGCAACCCCAGAGTCGGCCACGACTGGACCTAATGGTCAGGGGCCCCTTTACCTTTACCCAAGGACTTAACAGCAGCCGTGCAGAGAGGAGGGCTGCTGTCCTGCTTGAAGCCTTTCCATAAGCAACTTGCTT